TTGGGGCAGTTTGTCTCTTAAACCCCAGATTTCCTTGGACCTGCTGCTGCTTTTCAGCCTCTTCCTCTCCCTCTGTGTCCCTCCCCGGGAGAAAACTCTCCGTGGTGTTTCCCCTCCTGGCTTTTTCCCGTTTCCCATAGAAGTGCCGGGCTTGAGCAACCCAGCTGCCCCCAGCCCAAGCGGTGGATCCCACGAAACAAGACCTCCTCTGCCTCCCGCCCCGGCCCTCGCCTTCGCCCAGAGCTTTGAACTTGCACCCTGCCAAGGGGGAAATGACGGGTTTGGGGGTGTTCGGTGTGGCTGCAGCTTGGGTAGATGATCTGAGCGGGGACAGGGATGGTTTCAATTCCTTCTTGCTCTTTCATCTCCCACCCTAGGTATGAAAAATAAAAACATTTAAAAAAAAAAAAAAAGAGAAGCTCAGAGCAGCCCTTCCCTTCGAGTAAAATATTAACTGGCTCTTACAGCTAACTGATTAAATATCCTTTAGGACAAAGTTACATCTGATCTCGGGCAAAGGAGCCTTTGGAAATGGGTGTAGCTTCTCCCGTGGAAAAAGCAAAGGAGCCCAGCCCCGGTGGCAGTGGAGGCTACTCCCTCCTACCCCTGCTTGGCTAGCAACCTGCGCAGCCCCACAGCTTTATTTGCTATTTTTATTTTTCCCCTCCTGTGCTGGCTCGGTGGTCACGCTGGTTAAAGGTTAGCTGGGGCTAGCTGGCAGCGCGGTGCTTGCCCGGTGATAAAACACAACCCTGCCTCCCTGCCTGGCCCTGCTCCCGGCTCCGGTCCCCATCGCGTCCAGAGCCGGGCAGCAGGCAAAGTTCAGGGCTTGTTTGTTCAGGGGAGATAAGGTGAGGATGCCTGGCAGCATGCAGGCAGCTTGCAGGGCTGTTATTCATTTATTAGACATTGTTTTTTACCTTCTCGTAAGAAGGTTTCTCCTCCCCTCTGCTCTCCCAGTCCAGGTGCATGGCAGTTCTTGTGGCTTGTGCATGATTCTGGGCTCGTGTCCCCACACGGAGGCCTGGGGAAGGGGCTCTGCAGGTGCCGAGGTGGTCCCAGTCCCACTGGTGGGATAGAGAGGTGTCAGCATGGGGCTGGCCGGAGCGCTTTTGGGTCCTTTGGTGCTCCAGATGTGACCCCGCCACTTGCTTTGCCCAAAAAGCTCGGTGGGTTTGGCTCATGCTAGACATGGTGCTACCAAAGCAAATTCTTTCTCGTTGACCTCCATTCCCACTCATTGGCCTGGCATCGCCCTGCCAAGCCCATCGTTTGGCGGCAGACCCTTGGTCCGGACAGGGCTTGTCCCAGGAACAGGAGTTCCTTGGAGGGAGGATGCTCTGGGTCGTCGTCCTCTGCTCCCTGGGAGCTCAGCCCCTGCCTGTGCCCGGGGCTGGGTGCTCTATGGGTGCTCCGTGCTGGGCCAGCGCCTGGGGAGCAATGAGGCAGGAGGGAGCAGTGGGGGAAATCTCCCCTCTGCCCCATTCCCGGGATGCTCCGGGGCAGAGGCCAGCACAGGCGCAAGGTCTGGGTCTGAACCTTCCTGAAGGAAACAGCGATTTAGTGCAGGCTCCAGGGCTGTGGTTGAATCCCACATCCAGCCCCTCGCTTCTCCTTTTCAGCCCCAAAGCCCTTTTCGCTTTCGTTTCGCTTTGGTCTTGCCTCCCCTCTGCCTGAGACCCAGGAAGGTATTTGCTTCAGGGAAATCGTCTGCAGCAAGCGTGTTTGAACAGCTTCTCTACAGGGCCAGGTATTTGGTTTATATATATAAAAAAACCCCAACCCTAGACAAATATATAGGTGCTGGTCACTTTATGGGGAGGTCTCCTGCTTGGAGATACCCGATTGTCTCCTTCCTCCTTAGCACCTGCAAAATGAACTGGTGGCTTTGTTCAGTGCAGCCAGGAGAGGTGGGGAGTTGTTCGAGAGGGATCAGATGCATGAAAGCGAGAGCCGAGGTAGATGCTGAACTTCAAGGCAGCTTGGGATGAAAGAGAAATTGAAATCTTGTGGAAAAACACTGGGGGGGGGAAACTGTTCTCGCTTGGAAAGACTTGGTGAAGATGCCAAGCAGCTCCTGTATGGGTTTTCCTTTGCCCTGCGTCTCTGCGTGCCTGAAGCATCCTTCCCCACACCTCTGTCCTTGGGAGTCTCGTCATTTCAGGAGGGGCAAAATTTTGTGGACAAGTATCTTGCGTGGCAGGAGATGTCCAACTGTGCTTTCGGGGAGGAGCGGAGCCCTTGGGCCCCCCCGGACCCCCCTGCCACCCATCCTGCTGCAGCTGCTCCAGAGAGCAGGGCTTGAGGTACCCCAGTGTGCCACGAGACCTGCAGAGGGGCTTGGCCCTGAGCCCTGCTCTCTGCTTTTGAGGGTAAATGTGCCTCCTTTTTGGGTGTGGAAATGTAATGGGAGCTCAGCTGGCTCTGCCAAAGCATATCCTTTGGTCAGGGGGAGCTGCGGGAGGAGATGGCTGGGAGCAAAGGAGGGAGGAGCCTGGACCAGACCCGGAGGAAAATGAGCCTCCAAGCAACCAAACCAAGCGCTCACCAAGCGACTGCCGCCGCTGCGACGGAGCAGACCCTGAGACAGGGGGATGCTGTTGGGGTCACTGAGACAGGGGGATGCTGTGGGAGTCACTGAGATGGGGTTGCTGTGGGGGTCACTGTGCTCAAACTCCCCTCCCTGCCCTGTGCTGGCTGCAGGGTGGACATCTTGCGCCGTGCTTCAGTTTCCCCTTTGGCAAATGAGGGTTTGCTTTTCCCTGAAGCTGTCCCCGGGCTGAGGCCATACTTGATCAAGCATCCATGTGTGTGCTTGGCCAGCTCCTTCCCAAGCTCGCTTGCTTGTGAGGTGCCAGGGGCAGTGGTAGCATCTGACCCAGTGCTGTGTGTTTCAGGAGGGTTTTACGGCCAGCCCCGTCGTGGGGAACTGGGGAGCCCATCCTGCGGATCGGCTGTGCTGGCCCGGTGGCAGCGGGCTGGGCAGCTGCCCTTGCCGGGGAAACAGGAAGATGAGCGGAGGCACGGCCCATCTCCTGACGGCTCTCTTTGTGGCGGTGGCGCTGGCTGGGGTTTACCCATCTCGGGGGTCTGCCACTGACCTGGATGCCACCCCCAGGACAACGATCACCTTTGATGGTAAGGGAGCGCAGGTCTTGGTGGTGGCGGTGAGCTTTGGGATCTTGCTGGTACCCAGTTTGGTGCATCGTGACTGTGTCCAGCCTTCACCACCCCCCCGGAGCAGGGGGCTTAGCATGGTGGGGTGGCTAACGGGGAGACTCCGGTCCCCCGGGCACTGGAGCCCGCGTGGCTGTCTGGCATTGGGTTCCCGGAGTTGATGTGCCCTGAGGGATGGAGCAGGGCAAAGGCATCTTCCTAAAAGCCAGGAGGGGACAAGGACGTGCAGGGAGCCAGCCTTGGCCAGCCCTTGGCCCTGCCCAGCAGCCCTTGGAGGGTGTCCTGAGCCAGGCATCACACCTGGGCTGGGCTCTCATGGCCCAAACTGTCAGCAGGGAGCTTTCTTCCATGATTTTCTCTAATTGCCACTGGGCTCTTGGCCTCAGCCCCTGGTGTCAGCCAGCCCCACAGTGTCATCGTGCCTTGGGCATCCACATGACTTTGTTGACCTTGTTAATGAAGCCCAGCTCAGCCGTTGACAGTGGGAGAGGGTTTTGTTTGCAGCTGGGGTGCCCTTTTCTCCCCAGGCATTTGGGAGAGTCATTCCCTCCCCAGCTGCCTCCAATGTCACAAGCTCCACCGGACTTTCTCCTCCTGCGGGAGGAGGGTCCGAGCCTGGCTTGACGTCCCTCTGGCCAGGGCTGAGTCCCACCTCGCACTTCTCAGCATCCCACATTGGGTGGTTTCTCTGGCTTGGTGGGGGGGGAGCGCCCAGCCTCACTGCAGAAGCCGTCCCCTTTCGTGGCAGTTTTAGTTCAGGTTTTTTACATCCTTCCTCTTGGGCTGGTGGGGTTTGGTTCAGAGCCGGGGTCACTGCCGGCGTGTTTTCTCTTCCAGCTGTTCCCCAAACAGCGTGGCAGGTCCGTGCTGGGCATGGACATTGCAGCTTCCACCCCTGAGCCTCCGTTTTAATTAGCAGGGAGAAATTTCTCCTGTAAGCCTGAGCCCAATTAGTGCCTTTTGCCTCCTACCAAACCTCCGCTTTTCCTTTCCTTTCCTCCTGCCGTAACCACTGGCACCCAGCACCATCCGCCTGATAACCTCGGTGGGTGCCTTCCCACCTGCTCCCGGCTCCATCCTCTGCCTTTCCCCAGTGGCTCACGCCGTGCCTGCCCCGGAGTCCCCCCTCAGCCCCCTGTTCCCTTTGCAGAGCTGTCGGACGTCCGGCACTTCAGCACACGCAACCTAAACTACAGCACCCTGCTGCTGGAGGACAACCGGGGCATCCTCTACGTGGGCGCCAGGGGAGCCATCTTCGCACTCAACTCCAGTGATGTGGCCGACGGCTCCCACCGCACGGTGAGCCCGGCCTCTGCCCGCCGACCGCTGGTTGTCCCCTCCTGTCCCGCACTGCCCAGTCCCTGCCCAAATTGTGGCCACCCTATCCCTGCTCATCCTCCCGCTTGCCATCTCAGGTCTTGCCTGGAGGTGCTGTCCCCAGGTTCCCTGTGAACGCCTGGTCCTTCTTCCCAGCCAGGCAGCGTGGGGACAGTGGTGGGAGATGTTCCCAAGCTCAGAGCTGCCTGCTTCAGGGATACCCCCGCAGGACGAGAGGCAGGGGGGAAGCACATCCCTTTACTCCCTGTGGGAGGGACACCCCAAAATCCTCCTGGCTCCTGTGGGTGCTCTGGGGTTTCTGCCCACAGGTCAGGGTATGGGACCGCTCTCGCCCCGGGCTGGGGGGACGCAGGCAGGGTGCTGTCTCATGCTATGAGCAGCTGTCCCCTGTCTAAATAAAAGAGAGGATTTTAGCATCTCTGATGGCTCTGGCAGAGGCTGGAGCCTGCCGTGATGGGGGGTCACACAGTGGCAGTCCCTCTTCCCCTTGCAGATCCACTGGGAAGCCTCCCCGGAGAAGCAGATGGACTGCCTGCAGAAGGGCAAAAACAACAAGGTAGAGCCCGTGGGTGGGTGCTGGGGGGGCCGCTGATGCTTTCCCCGCCTTGTAACACCCATTCTCCCCCTCTGCAGACCGAGTGCTTCAACCACGTGCGGTTTCTGCAGAGGCTGAACAGTACCCACCTCTACGCCTGCGGGACCTACGCCTTCCACCCGCTCTGCGCCACCATCGTGAGGAACGATCGGCCCCACGGACG